TCTCCTACATTTTCCGTCTCATCTCACTCCATTGCCGTCTCCATGCACTCCCTTACCTCTCCCCTCTCATCTCCCTCTACTTCTCAGCACGCACTCTCCTACCTCTCCCATCTCAACTCCTCACTCTACTGCCCTCCACGAATTCTTATCACTCCCCCTCTCATCTCCCTCGACTCCCCTCCACGCACTCTCCACCCCACCAACGGAGGCTTTCTGTTGAAGTCTCCAGTCAATCTTAGCTCAGTGGGAGGTCGCTTATTCTCCCCTGCTGTCCCCACTGTCTGGAACTCCCTTGCCCCATGCTGTCTGTGCTGTCGACTCTGCCCCACGCCGTTTGAGTTTCAGACTCAAGACCCTCCCTTTGTGCTTCTGCTCATCACTGGCTGCTGCTTTCTTTTGACAAAATAAAATATGCCCACTGTGTACACTCGGCATCTTGGAAATGATGTCGCATTTATCCTTTGCTATATAACCCCCCCACCTTTTTTGTGTTGAACGGAACGCAGATAACCACTAGGTCACATGGTCCTGCACGGTTTTCCATGCAGGAGCATGAAGAGCCCTCAATTGACAAGAACATTCGATTGGCAATCAAGGTAAGGGTTAATAATTACGTGCATACAAAATAAATTGCTCTTACAATACCTTCATGTTCGTTTCCAATTACAGTAATTATAAAAAAAAACCCAGAGTCCATTGTCAATCAAGTGCTACATTGAGGCTTCCTTCCGTCATGTCATGGAGGGTTGATTGACCATACTTCACCACTTCTGGTCAGTGTGGGTTGGTGAAGGCGGTGGCCGAGACTGGTTCAGACACCAACACTCGCCTCTGATGTTTACCCTGGCCGGGAATCGAAGACTCGGGTAGCCGGGTTCGTAATGCAGTGTGCTAACCGCAGAACCACCACTTCTGCATATATTTATTGAAATGACAAACTAAAATAAAATAATTTCAAGTGTGTTATGAAATAACAGGATAATTTAGAAATGTTTAACTTTATATATATTGCCACCAAGGGGCAAGATGTACAGTAAATATTAAGGTTTAGAGAGAGACTGCCTTAAATAGGCTTGCTAAGTGAAGTTGATGGGTAAATGGAGTTCCTCGATCAAACGTGACATTTGTAAAGTCACGTTAACACAGATAGCTGCTGCCATGGTGTACTGGTTGGCACAACGACCTTGCAACCCAGAGGTCGCCAGTCCGATCTGAACTCCTACACGTGACGTGTTCCTTAACCCCACCCCCCCCCCCCCCCCCCCATCATATCTGGTCACCCAGCAGTCGAATGGACCACATTGAGTCGATCGCATGCGGTGCGGTAAAGTGTGGGTACCTCTTCCGAGTAGAGGCCAAGACGTCCTCTTGAGGGGCTTTTCGTGCGGTCCCTCTGGTGGAGCCAGCAGTGCCGCTGTGGCGAGATGTTAACTCACTCGCCTGGTATACAATAGGTCGTGGGTTCAATCCCCATCCTGACGCCTGCTGCTGTATATTTGGAGTTTGCGTATCTCTCTCGCGGTGGTCACGTGGATTTTTTTGCTGGGTCCTCCGGTTTTTTCCTTCCATTTAGAAACACGCATTCAGAGTGTTTGGCTGCTGTACATTGTCACGTGATAAGCCACTTCCTTGAGCTATCATTTGTGGCCAGGTCGCTTCTGGAAAAGAGCTATATAGCTCAGTGGGCCTTACCTGGTAAATAACAAAATAGCTTCTTAGTTTAGCAAATGAAAAAGGATCTTCATAGCTAATCGGATTCCTCCAGTATAAAAAAAACATTCGGAATCCTGAAGTAATTGCAGGGTAGCACCTTTACCGTCGCTTGTTTATGTAACAGCACAGACGCACACCGCGCACAGACACGTGGCTGGGTGATTTTGAGCCAGACACACGGCCAGACTGCTGTCATGTAAACGCACTTTTTTTTCTGTTGCTGAATAGAGAGGAGTTACAAAACCTGAACAAAAGTTTTGTAAAAAAAAAGGCTTTATTTCATCATTGGAAAGGAAACAATTTCTGGATCAGCCACTTTTCAATTAAAATGCTAAAAGCACGCCGGTTCTGCAGAGCCAGCGAAGGACGGATGATGTCAATAGCTTTGTGTTAAAGATGTTGTTTGTTGCTGTTGCAGCATGTATTGAAATTAGGGCTGTGTGCGCTCTTTGTGAACAAATAATTGAAATATCAATTCCAAATGTGTGAAAAGCTCCGTATTTCACGGTCAATGCTTCTCTTAGAGAATGGATGGCAATGCCACAAATAACACTCTCATCTTAATCATAATAGAGTAATTTGTTCATCCAGACAGGCCTTACTAAGTCTCAAGACTCCTTTTCAGGAGGGTCCTGCTTTGGAATATGTTGACACATTGCTCTATTAAGGAGTGTTTAAGATATGGGAGGCAGGGCTTAATTTCTCACTCGATATTTTCCATCATTCTGCTTAAGACCGCCACCACTGGGTCACACACACTATATTATACCCTATATTCATATGATCCCAGGAATAGGTTTGTAATCATTAAAAGACAAAATATTCCGAGCAAGGTGTGCCAAAATAATTCCTGGAGCGGTGTGGCGGGACTGTTCCTGGCTGAAATGAAGCACCGTTGGGAGGAAGCTGGAATTCTGCACATGGGGAAAAACACCCAGGAGGAGATGACACTCAAAGGTCCATACAGATGGGTTGATGAACCTATTTCCTACTCCTGCCAACCTCCTGGCCACCTTCGAGTCCCAACGGGTTTGCAAGTCTCACAGTTCCGTGTTTCATCTAACCCCCATCCTTGTCATCTACCCTAACAGTCCGATTTAAAATGTAGGTGCAATATCACACCAAGGATTGGGTTCCCATTGTGTTAGGTTAAGACAGTACAATAGGACTCCTCTTTATCTGCCCGTGATGCACAGCCATAGGTCGCAGATGCTATTTTACCCCAGGAAAACTTTCCGTGATGTTACTCTATTTATCCGTGAAAATTATATGCTGCTTATCGCCAATGATAGTAAGAATTGGGTAGAGGATAACAGGAGTTGTCGTGGACTCCAATAGGTCCCGCGGATAATAGGAGTCACGGGTAATAGGGTCACCGATAAGAGGAGTTCCACCCAAAACCATTTCCACTGACAATCACGCGTCCGTGTCTCCAGTAACCGCAACTCACAATCTACGGTTGGCTAGACCCCGACGCTGTATCATGGAAACTACTCATTACGCTACATGGCTATGCAAAGGTCAACCTAAATGCATGCGAGCGATCTCGTTCCAACTCGGAAGCCGCGCAGTGTTGAACCTCGTGGGTGTTTGTATGTACACTGTGGGTATGTTTAACTTCTTCCGTACCGATTTAAAGCTTCTTTCGTGACTGCAGGGATTCATCTTCTTGGTACTTTCGGTAAAGTCACGTAGAAGGGAAATAATAAAATAATAAAAATAAAACATAATAAAATAATTCTCACGACGTTTCGGCCACAATGCAAGCAGCCGTCCTCAGGTGAAGAAAGAGGTCTGTCGAGAAGACAGAGTCTGAATGACACACCCCAGGCTTGAAGCGTCTATTTAAGCTTACTTTACCGAAAGAACCAAGAAGATTCTTCCGTACCGTAGGGAGCCACCCGTGCTCATCGGAGGTGCGGGGGAAGGACAACAATCTAAACACAAAAGGCATTTGTAGAGAAATTAGCTTTTCAATCTATCACATTTAAAAGTGCAATTCGCCAGTGGCTTCCTAATATCGGATGTGTGACGACCGGCGCTTGCCAGGTGTTGCAGGCTTGGGGCTGTGATGTGTTTCCCAGCGCGATTCCAAACTCATGAATGGAATCGCATCAAACGTCCCCAATGTATAATCCTCCCGAGAAGGCGTCTTGAGACTCAGCGAAGCTTTACTACCTAAATAACAGCCACTATTATGCACAATCACGCCGTTGTTGTGACAATGCTCACGGGCAAATCACTCTGAATGCGACTCATCTCGCCAGATCTCTCAAACGCTGAGGCGCACTGAGCCGAGTTGCGCGACACCTATGGACCACGCTGCATTCTCCGCTCAGCCACGGTGGGCTACGTACGGTGCGAAAGAAGTTCAACATACGATACGTACTGCAGGGCTGCCTGTGATGCCAGCTACCGTATTTACCGGATTTCTGTATAGGCCGCACTCTTTCCCCTGTATTTGAAATAAAACGTTGGGTGGTTTTGGGTGGTGGTGATCCGGCGTGTAAGAGCATATACATGATAACTTCATTGACAGGAGGAAGAGGTGTGGGTGCGTTTTTGTTTTACTTTCCAGAGAATGCGGTATCATCTCAAGTGTGTTGCACCAAGTGACTTCCGCTTTCTTGCTGCTGCTGTTGTCGATACCGCTCCCGTTGGCGTCGCGGATTGCGTTGTAGGCGCCGCTGTTTTCGAGATGCACCTCCCTCTAAAACATTCATCGCAACCAGCACGCTCGCCCGGTGCTCGAGCAAAGGAGGCATGAATCATTGATCCTGCATTCATCGCTGGAAGGGTCTCCACTGTTGCTCCGGCTGTCGGCAAAAAAGGGAGTCATTGACACAACAAGCCCCAGCAAAAATATCTGTGCTATGCAGAAGGGTCATTGCTCGAAACGTCTTCTATTGTACGTATATATCCATCCTGCACTCATTTTGTGGAGCGATCTCCACTCTTGCTCTGGCTGCCAGCGAGGGAGTACTTAGCACACAAGCCCCAGCAACATTGAAATATCTCTGCAGTGCAGACGGGCCCTTGCCAGAAACGTCTGCCATTGTTATTGACGAATGCGGTTCGTGGTTTGCAATGTGTAATTAAGCACCGCTGCCCAACGCAGTACTACTATCACCAAAAAACACACAGTTGCATTACATCATCGGCAGAGGGGGAAGACACATTGGTCGCTGGGTGGAGCTTCAACTCGCACCTTCGTCTCGCCCCCCCCTTCCCTTGCCCCCCCCCCCATCCCCGCCCCCGCACACTCAACACTAAAACCCGTGCGGCGCAGCGAGCGTGGTTCATGGAACGCGTCCGAGCGAGCGCGGCGCGACACGGGGTATCCCATGCGCTCTGGCAGCCCGAGTCACGATGGACGGCCCGGCGATGCGCTGCAAGGTCGTGGTGATAGGAGACAGCCAGTGCGGCAAGACGGCCCTCTTGCACGTCTTCGCAAAGGACTGCTTCCCAGAGGTACTGTGTTTCACCGGCACCACGGCCGGCTTCGTCGTCGGCGTCGTCGGTAGTGGCTCAGCGGCGGAGCGGAGCGGCTTCGCTGAACGGACGAAGGGTTTTTTTTTTTGCGAGTTCAAATCCTGCTGAAGGGGTTGAATGAACTCGGACCATCACCCGTCCGCGGTCGATAAAATAGGTGCCGCTTTGTGGCGGAAGTCGACGGTGGTTGTTTTCTACGGATAGAATGTCCCACCCGCCGGAGAAATGTCGAATGCCCAGTGCTCATTTTGAGCAGGAAATCACTTTCACCTGACTTTTGATGAGTCATTCATCGCCGGACGAAGTGCCGATTCGAGTGGTCGTCCTTACCCCTCGCGACGTTAACAGCTGCCCACCTTGAGCTCAGCTGATATTCATCTCCGCATCTTCACGGCGGGCCGCCCTCCCTCTCTCAGGCTCGTTATCTTCGTGCCATCATTCCCTGAGCTGTGCCACATTTATTGGGCTTCTTAATACGACGCCGTGTATGCAAAGCGGACTTGCGGGCATACTCGATTTTTATTTGTGCGTGTGGCGCCGCGATGGCTAGCTGTTAACTACCTCGCCTGGTATACAGGAGGTCGTGGGTTCGATCCCGACCCTGACGCCTGCTGTATATTTGGAGTTTGCATGCCTCTCTCCAAGTGGTCGCGTGGATATTTTTTTCCCTCCGCATATAGAAGCAACATGCGTTCAAGTATTTGGCTGCCGTAAGCCACTTCATTGGGCTATCAATTGTGACCAGTTCGCTTCCGGAAAAGAGCTACATGGCTTAGTGGGCTTTATCTGCTAAAATAAAAAAAATATTTAAATTGTTTAGTTTTAACAATGGGTTAAGGAGCTACGGATGCCAATGTCGAGGTTAGCTCGCCAACGACGAGAGGGCTTTAAATTCAGTTCGTGTGGTTTTGCCATTTCTTCTCCCTCGTCGGAGGAGCGCTGACAACAGCGGGTTTATTCCACGCTCAATCGTTTGGGTTGCATGGCCACGCAATTTCAACGCTCTGCGCAGCAATTGCTGCGATGTAGAATTCTAGTCGTGGACTCGAACTTTTGCCGTGCAGATGCCCTGTGGCACTCGCTCACCGCTTGCTCTCTTTGAAATGGCACGGAAGAGGACATTTCGTGTGCGCCATGTTTAGACGGCAGCTGTTAGCTCTTAATGACTTAATAATCTGCTCTTAAACAAATTGTGCAACAACAAAAAAAAATCCCCGCAATTAAGGCCATTAAGAGCGTTATTCTTATTTAAGCTGACGGGTTTAAATTGGCCAGCCTAATGGACCGTATAATAATATTGAATCGGAAATGTAATAACTACCATGATTAGGGGTCGCGGTAGCTTTTGTCCCTTTTTAAAGTCACTTATAATTTATTAAAATATAAAAATACGGCCTTCGAAACTACTCGATAGGAGATTACCAGAACATTCTAAATGGGACCGCACGACGATATAGTCTTGGCACTCAGAATATCCCGGATGACAAAAGACGCATCATTAAGCAATTACTATGCTTAATGAGGGCGGAGCGGTGGCGCGGTGGTTAGCACGCTGCAGCCACGAACACGTCCGGGCGACCCGAGCTCAATTGCCACACCACGTGACATCTGGAACTGGTCCTGGAACCCGTCAAAGTCCCACGCCGACCCCACAACCCATGCACCAACCCACACGGACCAGCGTGGTGACGTGTGGTCAAGCAGCCCTCACAACCGCCACGTGGATGCCTCCATCCAGCAGTGGATTGACAAAGCGTCGTACATCACGGTTATTGTCTAACGTGGTTTAGTGCACCCCCCTCTCTCCCCGTGTTTTTTCCCCCCCCCGGCACCCCCCTCTTAGAGGTAGAACATTTGCCTGAGTTCGAAAATGAACCTGGTGTACCTTAAACGCTTCCTGTTTAAAGAGATAAGTCTACTTAGAGGCCCCCCCTCCCGACTCTCCCGTCATGCTGATGTTAATCGCGCGTGTATGCGCCCTCTGATGTGATTGCTGATGTTGGTTCAATGAAAACAAAAATACGTGGTTTAGTGGTGTCGCGTGTTTGACGTGAGCCCTGGTGCCATCCATGAGATGAGGGAGAGGGCCCTGTCCAGCTCCCCTCCCCTTCTTCTCTTCGTTACCTGGCGTTTTGGGCCTCCGTGGGGGAGTGTTAAATGCGCAGTTGCACCGCCTGCACGCACCGTAGCTGACGACAGCCACTGTTTGCACCCGAGGTCTATCTCTGTCTTGCGAACGGAAACTACTTTTCGCTCTCGCCCTGGTTTTACTCGCAAGGTTTTACGCGGGGCAACTTTGCGCGCGCGTACCGTGCACATGTCTCATCTCCCCCCCCCCCCCTCCGTCTGCAGGGCTACATCCCGACGGTGTTTGAGAACTACACGGCCAGCTTCGAAATCGAGAAGCAGCGGATCGAGCTCAACATGTGGGACACGTCTGGTGAGGCCGACGCACCGGTTTAATTTACCCGCCACGCCACGCCAGACCACGTCTGCTGCCCCTCGCTCACAGTGTGTTGTTGTCCGATTAGCACGGTCGGCCCGCGTACGATGCGAAAGAAGTTCAACAAACATACGGTGTAGGTACAAACGTAGGCACGTTCGCGGAACGGGAGGGCTCTCGTTTTGAAAGGGCGCCGCAGCCACCCTCCGCTGCGAGGGTGGCGGCCGTGTTTAAGAAGCGAGCGCGTTATTGAAGGACGGCCCCGGCGCTCGCCTCGTGGGAAGGGGGCGAGCAGACGGCCCCGTCTCGCTCTGAATGGGGAGGGAAACGTTCTCGGGATATTAACGGTTCGTGCCGATGATCGATCTCCGTCTATTCGTGCCGCATTGATCATTCACTAAATGCGCTGTGGCCAAAAACGGTCTTTCGCCTTTGACGTAAAAAAAATATAATCATCACCACAGCCCCGGTTTTAAAAGCCGCCGTGAGATTGCCCTCCGGCCTCCCATTATCGTTCCGTGGCGCTTCTTCTGCCGGTCCACAGAGATGAGCAGATGCTCTCTCGCTCCTCGGCTCCGGCGTCTCACTCACACCCCCCTGGTGCCACCGTAACTGTATCTAGGGGCCCATCTGCTCATCTTTGCTTGATGAGGACTGATCGGTGGCACATGGAGAGGTTCGTGCCGGATTTCGGGATTAAGCAAGAGGCAGCTCGGGGTGAATACAGCACATGCCCTGTACGCCGCCAAAGCTATCAAATGTCTCGTTCTCCCCGAGTCTCAAATTGAAGACTCATTTCTTTCGAACTGTTTTTTTTTGTGTTGAGTTTGTTGTCCTTCCCCGCACCTCCGATTAGCACGGTTGGCTACGTACGGTGCGAGATAAGTTCAACGTACATACATGTCCTCCCAGCATTTCATCTGCGATCTGCGAGTGCAATTATTATCCTGGGATGGGGTGAGTGGGTGGGGGGGTGGACAGATTTATTTATCTTCACGGAAAAGACACGACAAGCGCAGGTTCGGAGATAAACCGGCGTGACCTTTTGATGGGCCTGTGATGAGTGTCTCTCGCGCTGCGGACGCGGACGGGATGTCACCGAGCTCGATCTGTGTCCCCTCTTCTCAATGGGCTCTGACCTTTCTCCATCCACGGTCCACTCTACATCATAGGCATGCTTGGCTGCAGTGAGCACAGGAAGACAGGCTCGGTGGCTAATTGGCGATTAACTCAAGTGAATGCCAAGTGCACACCTCCATAAAGGGGGCGGCGGGCGGGGGGGGGGACCTGCAACAGTGGCTACTGCTGTTGAATAAAATATTGCATTCATCTTGCATCCATGACTCGCACACGTTCATGGCCAAGCAGTAGTGGTAACGGTCCATGCTAACTGAAGAGCTCTAGCAAAAAATAATCACTCGCGGGAGAGCGCATAATGGCAGCTAATGATGCAACGCCAGACATGCTGTTAGCATAATGCCCAAAGCAGATCTCTTGAGAATCTCAGCCCCCCCAAAAAAATGTTTTGCTCTTCAAAAACAAAGAGGGTAACAGCGGGGGGCAGGATTGAAACGATGTGGCAGCCTTACAAGCAATCGCATCGCCCAGCAATACGCGAGACATCATTCATTTGGGATTTCAAATTTGCAACCGAGACGATTTCCCGGACAATCGGTGAAGAGTTCTTTACGGAGGTCAACGCGACCGCCTTCACGCGCGCTGAAGCATCCCGTTCCGAGGGTTGGTGGTCCGCTGATACGTTATTTAAAATTGTGCGTTTTTGTTATTGTTGTTGTTCCAGTTGGTTCCGCTCGCTTGTTTCAGCTCTTTACCCATCGTTAATTGCAGGATCGCAGGAAGCCGGATGACACGGCACTCGTTCACATCAATTCGCGCTTGGCTAAAGCACGCACGCACGCACACGCACGCTGCAATTTAAGCACACCGGGGGTGGGTGGAGAACAGATCAGATAAAGCCTTTCAATTCTACACCCGTTGTGGCTGTGTATATATATTTCCCGCTCACCCCGTAAACGAATAATCTCCCCAGCTGGTGGTGGTGAGCATCGGGGGGGGGGGGGGGGGGGGCGGCTGCGATGGCCAGCACGGTGGAATGTCCTCACGTGGCAGCGCGGCAGAGTCGGGAGAGGGGGTCAGAGAGGCCACGACAATCGGGGTCTTTGTTGTGCAAATCGTCTCGCATTGAGAGGGCACTTTTTTTTTTGTGGCTACCACGGGCTTTTTTTTTATCCTTGGCGAGCTTGTCGCTTTTGTGCAGGAGGAGGGGTGAGAACGACCCCCAGAACCCCCACACCCCGAGCCCTGGGGTGGCTCCGATTCTGCGCACCGCGCTCACGCGCCCTGGACCCCGACTCTTATTTGTGACCACCCGGAGGTTTTCGTCGAGTCAAACCCGCGCGTTGAGGCGCGGGCGTTCTGCCACGCAGCCTTCTGACGACTAGGTTCCCGCGGCCACGTGATGGACGTTGCAATGCGCAATTTATGAATAATGAAAGTGATTAATGACATCTTGGGAGAATTTGAGAAGAAAATAACGTTTTTCACGCAACTTAACGTGTTGTCCTTTCTCAAATTCAGCAATGAATTTTAATCACGTTTAATTACAAAGCTGGCTGGTTGTACCTCTCTTTCTCCCCAAGCTGTCCGGAGGTTGTTTTGTGTTTCTGTAGCTCGTTATTAATAGTTCCAGCAGTCACACATCCACACCCACGATAAATGTATCTTTTACGCAACGCTTTCAAACCTTGTCTCTCTCCCACACGCACCGCTCCGAAGCCTGACCCAAGCGATGTAATTATGGGCACTTTGGAAAATATCAGTCGCAATTTTACTCAATAAAACTTATGTAGTCCTCCCCGCTGCTGCTTTCTGCCGCTTCCGCTGTTGAAGCGTCAGGCAGGTGTTTATGAGGACAAGCTGAGTTTGTCCTCGTACGTTTTGCCCCAAATAGACACGAGACTGACATCCTGGAATGCCTTCCAGCCTTTGAAGTTACCAGGTATATGCATTACAATATAAATATTTCATACCAAATTTCGATTTAAAGCTTTCGTGACTGCAGGGATTCATCTTCTTGGTTCTTTCGGTAAAGTCACGTAGAAGGGATAAAATAAAATAAAAATAAAACATAATAAAATACAATTCTCACGACGTTTCGGCCACAACGCAAGCAGCCATCCTCAGGTGAAGAACAGATCTGTCGGAAAGACAGCGTCTGAGACGTGTCGTGAGAATTGTATTTTATTATGTTTTATTTTTTTTATTTTATTATTTCCCTTCTACGTGACTTTACCGAAAGAACCAAGAAGATATTTCATACCAATCAACTCGTTTGAAATGCATGCAGCTTGTTCAGGAAGAGGCTTTGGGCCACGGTGAGGTGGATACGATTTGAGCACCGTTCCTTGGATACGGTACCAAGAATCTGTAACCCAGCTTGTCAGAGGTTGAGCTCGCGGGTCAGGCGAAGATCTTGTTCTTTAGACGCGCATTTCAGGCGAGCGATTTGGCTCGTGAGAGGCAGTACAGCGAGTTGGTTCGCTGTCAAAGCTATTCAGAGTTTGAGTACCATTTCCCACAGAAATGCGTGGGATATTTTCTAAGCACTCAATGTTATTGTATGTCATCATAAAACATATTTTTGAGCAACCACACCTTTCGAATATAATATATAGCCTCAAGACTTATTGCAAGATTTTCCAAGGTGAATAAAGAACGAGGGGACACTAAGCGCAAAGCTGCGTGGGAATGAATGGTGGGCTCGTTCAAGTTCGCGACTAAGCGCGCTGTGGGGGGGTGGGGGGGGGGCGCCTTCGCACGCCTCCGGCGACAGCCCACACGGCGCTCAGCCGCCGCCGCGATGGAAAGCCCAAGTCCCACCTCGCCTTCCGTAAAAAAACTATGTCTCCACCGTCCCGGCTGCAGACGATGTACGGTTTCACTCCTCGGCTTCGGCAGAGGGGCGGCAGGGGGGGAGGTACGCGAGGTTAAACACTCGAACGTGATCCGCACGCAGGTGGAGAGCAGGTCTGTCGAGTAGACAGAGTCTGAATGGCTGCTTGCGTTGTGGCCGAAACGTCGTGAGAATTATTTTATTATGTTAAATTTGTATTATTTTATTATTTCCATTCCACGTGACTTTACCGAAAGAACCAAGAAGATGAAGCCCTCACATTGTCGAGGCGAAAAATGAAGAGTGGAGTCTCTTCCCGGCTTTTTCAGCTACCGAATGTTCAGTTCCCTGATAGAAGCTGGGAAGAAACTGGTTCCCAGCATGTGCAGTGGAATGTTGGACATCGTGCCGAATGACGGGCGGCACACCCTAGGGGTCTCGGCTCGAACTAATGCAGCAGTGCAGGTGGCATTCCGAAGAGGTGTGAGGGTGAGAGTGGAGAGGGTCGTGGGGTCACTCCGAGGGCGGGGGACATCACCGGCGCCACCGCCGTCGCTGTCGGCTCGCGACGCGGCCTCCGCACTCCATCCTGATGGCGGTGCCGTTAATTATTTTGGTGCATGCTGCAGTGAGTCCCTGTGGAACGTCTGGTTCCTTGTTGATCTCGGAATTATGTTAATTCCTGGACCGTGTGTGTGTGTGTGTCGCTGCCCTACGAACCCGGCGAACCGAGGTCGATCATCGCTCGCGATCACCAACACAAGTGACGATTATCTCCCCGAGCACGACTCCGCCTCAAATAAGTACCTGGTACAGTGTATAAACATCGCCGTAGGGGAGACAAAGGCGGCCGAGCTTGGTGTTGGCCACCCACTCCCTTCATAGATGCTCACTAATAGGACTTGCCCCAAAAGTCTGTTAAGGCTATACGGGGGATCTTTGTCTGCGCTTGTAGTCTCATCCGCTGCACATTATACGGAGTGACATTTCTGATTTATGCTTCTGCAAATGCACGTCGCTAATGCAAGCCAAGAAAAAATAACGCTTGAAACATTTCCCTATTCCATGACATTGCATATTGATCTTGACATGAAATGACAAGGCGATCACGAACAATGTACGCGGCGGAGCAGTGAGCGGGAGGATGATGAGCTCTCTGACGGCGTGTTTTGGTAGCGTTCCAAGGCCGGTACATTGTTGCGTTACCATTAAAGAAATAACAATTCGTTGTTTCGCGATTACATGTCGGCGCCGTGATTCATTACTGGACATTAGCTAAGTTGATGCGGCGATTGATAACTGTCATCTGTGTGGCGGGAGTGACTGGTGATTGAGAAGGACAGCTGATGCTTGCGCACGCTCCTGGCTGCATGCTTCACGTCCTGTCGGTCAGCCTCGGTGACGTAACACGGCGATCATTTTTTTGTTAGATTTCCCAGCCGTTGTGTTTTTTTTCTTTACTTTACACATCCCTTTGTCATTCCACTGCTGGACGAAAAGCCTTCCCATGCTGTGTCGGTCGTGGTGGCCGTTGGAATCGTACGTCAGCACCGCTGGTCAGTGCCGGTTGAACCTGCGCAGATATCGCCCGCGACCGATGTTTCGCCTTGGCTGGGGATCGAACTGCGGTCACCGGGTTCAGAGCCCGCTGCGTACGATCACTGTGCCGTGGCTGCACACATCCAAGCAATCTGGGAGGTGTCATTGGGATACATAATTTCGTTCATCGTGCATAAAAAGTGACACGTAGTATCAGTGGATTTTATTTGTTTGAAGTGCGTAGGTAAATATTCTTGTTAATTTATGAACGGTAATATTTTTTATTTTAATTGCCATAGCAGTGGCAGCAGCGTTGAAGCTGGCACATGGATTGTGCAAAATTAAATCCATCGCGCTGCGGAATAACACGAAACTCCGCGTGCAGTTTGCAGCAAAGCAGAAATAGTTTATTCATAACGAAAACATGTGAATTGACATTCTGAGCACGTGAAACTTATTCACCCAATTTCAACAGCGGTTGTTTGAATTTTTTTATTTACTTCGTTTTTTTTTTACCATTCTGGTGACTTGTCAAAAATAGCCGGGGCTGCTGGAATGCATTTGAGAGGCATGGGAAAATCCGGCGGAGCCCAGGAGGCCGCTCGTTCTCCATCATCTCGCCCTCCCACCCCTCGGGGGAGTCTGCCCAGCTTGAGCGGTGTTTGTTCTTCACAGAGCTCAGCCTGCACTCTGACCCTCGGTGGAGAAAACCTGCCCGCTAGCTCTGCGACGCGTCCTTGGTTGTTTGCGCCGCGCCTTGTTCGGCCACGGTGCCCCGACGATTCGCTCCCACGCGATAGGAGCTTCCTCGGGAACTGCTCCCAACGTGTGGTTGCAAAACGTCGGACACCGTGCGGAACGATAGGCGGTTTAACCCGACAGCACATCAGAGAGCGGCTATGCATTACAACGGCGAGAACCTATGCGGTAGAACCTGCTGTTAGTCGCGACCTTTCGCTAAAACTTCCTGCGGAGGGGCAGACGCCCCCGTAAGTGTTCGCGATCCCGTCCACCTGCTCGCTCGCCCCCGCCTTACCTCGTTCATTTTGGAGAACCAATTTTTTCCCACTTGTCTGACTTGATTGTTTATTTTAAGCCGATGACACAGTTGCTGCGGTGAAGGTCACCGTGCAGCTGCGTTCTTGGCTTTAGAAATAGCAGATAAGAGGAGGGTGGGCGCTTCTCACCAGGGCGAGGGAAGCAATCCACGGAGGTGGTAATACTCCGTCACATTGGCACCGATCATGCGCCGTGCTCGTTGGCAGGGACGGAGGACGCCGCAGCAAGGAGCAAAGGTTATCGCGAATCGTTGTTTAAAAAGTCGGCAAATTTGATTTCCCGCCCGCCCGCAGTGTCGTGGTGGCGTAATCGCATTTCACTGTGACCCTTGGGCCTTGGTCAGGGTGACACCATTTGCCGAGTAAATATCCCATTCCCACAGCCCTGCCAACTGCTGCCCGTCCCCATCTCCGCCCCCCCTTCCCCGCCTCCTCAATTCCCCCCCCATGTCTCGCGCTATTCGTGTTAAAATACTTCTCGTCCCGTGATGGACACTTAACCGAAAGAAAGAAAAAAACACCCCACCACTGCAGCTCGAGGCATTGATCAACCGCGCGCTGTCGGGGTGAAGGGGCAGCACTCACGGGACCTGCGTGGCCGTGGGCAACTGTCACATGACACAGAAAAGGGAGGAAAGTGACGGGGGGGGGGGTATTTCTTACAAACAATCACACGGTGCAGCTTTCCCAAGCACAGTTTGGGTCGTTATCGCGTGTTGTCACGCGGTAACGACCCCAACAACGAGCGGTAACGACCCGAACCACACGTGGTGACGACACGAACAACGTGCGGTAACGACCAGAACAACGTGCGGTAACGACCCGAACCACACGTGGTGACGACACGAACAACGTGCGGTAACGACCAGAACAACGTGCGGTAACGACCCGAACCACACGTGGTGACGACACGAACAACGTGCGGTAACGACCAGAACAACGAGCGGTAACGACCCGAACCGCACGCGGTGACGACACGAACAACGTGCGTTAACGACCAGAACAACGAGCGGTAACGACCCGAACCACACGTGGTGACGACACGAACAACGTGCGGTAACGACCAGAACAACGAGCGGTAACGACCCGAACCACACGTGGTGACGACACGAACAACGTGCGGTAACGACCAGAACAACGCGCAGTAACGACCCCTACAACGCACGGTAACGACCCGAACCATACGCGGTGACGACACGAACAATGTGCGGTAACGACCAGAACAACGCGCCGGAGAACTACGGAGCGGCACAACCGCAAAAACTTACACGGGAAAAAAAAATCACTCGGCGCTCCCCCCCCCTCCTGCTGCCCCCCATTTAGGTCCAAAGGCACCCGCTGAGCTCAACGTGAGCGGGGATTCGGCGTTCAAGGGAAATGAATCAACTTTGCGTGCGCTTCGCCCCGACAGGGGGACGCGGCGTTCTAGACACAACGCACACGCGGAACATTAGTGGGGCCGTCACTTAACCCGGATAGAAGGCAATCTGATGGATGCTGCGGACGCAAAGCGTACATGTCCTTCGCCGTTTGGAAAACAGCCACTGTTTAAGTCTTCGTGGCGGGATGAGTCATGACATTAAAATTGATTTTCCACATGAAACGTAGGAGTAAAATAATGAAATAATTACGCCTTCCAAATCCATTTTCTTTGTGTGTTAATATGACCATGTCAATAAGAAGGCCAAACTTAAACGGCTCTTTGCTTAGACGTTCGCAAATAACGCACGTCGGCCCCTGCCAATTCACTGCGGAACCAACATGCCGTGCAAGCCGCGGGGATTGTTTTGGCCATACTTCCCCATGCTGGTCAAAGGACGTTGGAGACAGGTGGGGGGGAGGGGAGAGGGGGCGGGGAGCACCAGTCATTTCGCCCGGGCCTGGAGTCAAGCGAGGGTGGCCAGGTTCACAGCGTAGCACGCGAACCATCGCGCCACTGCTTGGGAATTGTATCTAAAATTCGTGGCGATATTTTAGCCACGGCCGACAAAGGCTGGAGAGAATGAGTCAACCGCAGCATTGAACGTCACCACTTACACGCGATGTACGGCCGACGTTACATCTGCGCATGATTAATGGTGTCCCAACGCGGCAAAAGCACGTCATTAAAATCTGCCGCTGCCGCTGCCGCCGCTGCTGTTCCTTCCCTGTGCCCCGAGGGTCACCGTACTACTGACAACGTCCGGCCGCTCGCCTACTCGGACTCTGACGTGGTCCTCATCTGCTTCGACGTCGGTCGCCCCGAGACACTGGACAGCACCCTCAAGAAAGTGAGTGTGGCCCGCGTGTCCCCCCGCGCACGCGCACACGCACACACACGCACACACATGTACACACACGCACACACACACACGCACACACATGTACACACACGCACACACACACACGCACACACACACGCGGGCATAGGCACGTTCCTGCATCGGTGACAAGGCGGCAAAAGCGCAGGCCCCGCAATTGCTTTGCTCGCGCTGCTGCGCTCGAGAATGTTTTGGCCTACTCCTCCACACTGGCGCACATGTCTTGGAAGATGCGGGTGTACCCACACTTGACCCCACCACACGCGAGCTGCCAATCATCTAGCCGCGGTTTTGCTGGGTGGCGAGCGACGGTGGGAGTGGGGGGTGGCGGCAGGGTTCCAGCAACCTGCAAACCGCCGCGCCGGGAGATTGAACTGACCCAGCGACCTCTGGATCCCATGTCTAGTGTGCTACTCATTATATTCTTGGTTCTTTCGGTAAAGTCACGTAGATAGAAAATGAAAAAATAACACATACGGTCTTGCGATAGAAACGGCGTGGGTTTTTTGCTTTTATTTTAATTTTATTATTATTATTTTTTTATTGTATTTTTTTATCTACGCGACTTTACCGAAAGAACCAAGAATATGAATTCCTGCAGTCACGAAAATTTTCAGTCAAAATGTAACTGCTACTCATTACACAACTGTGGCAGCATCCCAGGTAGATACACGTACAACACAATCGCTCGTGCACGCGTGCCGAATTTAAACGCCGCGTTGCTCACCGCTGAGACAGCGACCCCACGCCGTGCCCGTTGCATCACAAGACGCGCGATGATGCATGCACCCGCCACACGCACGCACGCACGTAAGCGAGCAGTGAATGCCTTGGCCCCGAATTAAAGCATTGCCATGAGGAATGGAGCCATCACTTTTAATAAATCCGTTAATGCAAACCGCGGCCGGACCGTAAATCTCCACCATAATCCGGCGTTTGCCGTGGGCACGGCCTGTGCCTGCTTGCTCGTGGTTCGGCCGAGGTGGTCACACCGGCGATCGGGGCCACTGCCACGCGGCGGCACGGAAACGCCACGGCGGCGGCGGCGGCGGCGGAGTAGGAGGAGGCGTAGAACCTCTCGCCGCCGCTCTGTGTTGCGCACGCCGCCGGGGGCCGTCGTCATCGTTGGCTGGGAGGAGGGAGAGAGCGCTCACCGGGGCTGTTGGGCTGCAAGGTGTCGGCTGCGCGCTCGCGGAGCGGCGGTCGGTGTCTTTTTTTTGTTGTGCGAGAAGAAAAGAAGGAAACTATTGTGTGCACGCGTGTGCGTCAGCGCTTGTGAAAGCGGACCGGGCCAGGTGTGCCGCGATCAACATCCGCACACCTGTGCGCCGACGGCGTTTGGACGTTGGGACATAAATAGATGACCTTTCACCCCCTGTGTTTATTCCGCCGGGGTTAGGTTTACCGAAATTGAGTTTTGATCCTTTGTAAGAACAGCATTTCATCTATTCACGTGCTACAAAGATTGTTCGTTGCCCGAAACGTCACCCATTGTATACTTTTCATTGAGTGCCAGGGGGTTCATTGATGGATGTGTTGAGTTTTTGTTTATAGTTGGCGATGCTTGTGCACCTCCACCGATGCAGCTGCATCACCAAACAATTTGTTTAATTAATTTAGTTTCCTTAAATAACAACTTGGGGGAGCCTGAGTCGGCCGTGGCATTTAACGGATTATCGACAGCAAATGGCATTGCAGTGCAATTAATTAAACATCTCTGAAGCGTGTGCACGCACCCATTCAACGCACGTGCTGATGGAATAGAGCAATTAGGAGCACAATGGACAGCGCGGCGTGTACAGATTCGTCAAGAAGCTTCGGCGCAACGAGAGCCGCATCGTGCGAGGGATTGTGCGTCAAATCTGCCCGGGGCCGGCCCCACCGGAAAATTTAAACTCGCAGTCTGTGAAAGAGCTCAGCTGCATGCCGAGTAGACACGTTGGCCAAAATAAATGTACACCACCATCATGCTCGAGTGCAAAGCACTTTTGAGTGATTCTTCCGTTAATAAGGTCACTGTAACGAGTTTCAGGCTCTGAAATGCGGTTATTAATGATGTGCATCGTCGTGAGCATCGTCAGCAAAATCAATCCACTGCTGGATGAAGGCCTCTCCAAGTCCTCGCCGCATCGCTGCCAGTCCCGTGATGTGCCGATCCACTTAACCATCTGCACACCAGCTGCTTTCGCTGCTCCATGGCGGCCGTACCGTAGAGATGCGTTTTTTGTTTACAAAAAAGATTCAAAAAAGCCGTCGCCCGATAAACATTCACTGCAGCAGCACAGTTTTGCCGCAGCCGCATATTTGGAGTTTGCGGTGTCTCTCTCTCCCCGTGGTGGCGTAGGGTTTTCTCTGGGTCCTCCGGTTTTTCCCTCCACGTTCAGAATCAAAATCGCACGTTTAGAGTGTTTGGCTGCGAGAAATTTCCACGCGACGAGCCGCTTCGTCTCGCTAGTCATTTGTGGCCAGGTCGCTTCTGAAAAAGATCTACATAGCTCAGTGGGGGCTTACCTGGTAAATATTAAAAGTTTGCTTTAGTTTAGCTAAGATACCAGCGCTTGCCAAACGCGGTACGATTATTTACAGAGCCCTAAAGGAGTGGATTACCTTGCCGACGGATGGCGAGTAAAATTCTGTCGCTCGATGTAACGTTTAACAAAGAGGGTCACAGGGAACGGCTGCACAGCCGTCGTGTGTCCGACTGTCCCACAGCCGACGGCTGGCAGCTGCTGCTGAGATTGACTGCATGACAGGGCGGGGAGAGTCGCCGGTAAATCATTAACGAGCTCTAACGGCATCCATTAAGGGCGGCCCTTTGTGGGTGGATTCACGTGGATTTCCCACGTAAACTCGATAGCCCGCTGGTCAGCCTCGTGTTATCGTGGCGATATCCCCGGTAACTAGGGTCGAATTTTATTTTCGTGAAAAACGGAACCGAAAAGTTGAGGGTTTAATTTCAAGTGAGCGATTATTAGCTCATAAAACAAATCGTATGACCAGTCATGTACTATGGCAGCCCCTGTTTGTCAATCCATTGCCTCCCCATGCCTTTGTGGGTCATATGGGTCATTTGACCATACTTCATCACTCTGGTCAGTGCGTATTGATTGATGAAGGCAGTGAGCATAGTCGTGGAAATGTAGAATTACAGTACAACAATGGATTCTGCTTCACTGCCCTCTGCTGCCCACAACATAGAGCCCACCAGGCCCTATGGCAAACACCCATCCAAGTACTATCCAGGCTCAAGCCTGCTTACCAGCCTTGAAACATGTTCAATCCAAGTAAAAATCAAGAAGATATCAATTTACAAATATTTGTTTGATTATTGCTCCTCCAAACCGCACCAACCACGTGGTGACGTACGTTCAAATAACCCGCATGACCCGCACTGCATGATGGGAGACCCATCATCCAGCAGTGGATTGACAAACAAGGCCGTACTTGCGCATGTGTAGAGGTCACAGGGACCCCGTGGTGCCAAGATGTTAACTCCCTTGCCAGGTATACAGGAGGGCGTGGGTTCAATCCCGACCATGACGCCTGCTGTATATTTTAAATTTGCATGGTCTCCCCCTGGTAGTGTGGATTTTTGTCCGGGTCCTCCGTCTTTTCCCTCCACATTTAAAAATGTGCGTTTGGAGTATTTGGCTGCTGTAAAGTTCCACATGATAAGCCACTTCATTGAGATATCATTTGTGGGATGGTCACTTCTGAAAATAGAGCTGTATAGCTCAGTGGGTAAAATAGAAAAAAAATGTGTTTAGTTTAAATAGTTTAGTAATGATTTGTTTTACAATTTTCCAGGGGAGAACATTTGAGAGTCTGGCTTTAAAGTGCCCAATGTTCCCTTCCGCAGGCAGTCATTATCCGTTGGCTGTTATTTTGCCCGAAATTCAGCGACGCGGTTTGGTTATTAAGAAACCGGTAGCCGGAGGTGCTGCGTCCATCACTGGAAAACTATAAATTCGCTTTAAAGTTAAAGTTTGTATGAAACTGAAAATAAATCTGCGAAAATGTATCAATTATTACAATGCACCAACCCCAAGTGGCAAATTTGCCTGTTTATCTTGTGACGTTTTTTGTTTGCAAAAGTTTTTGGTGATATAATTTTGCATTTCCTTCCAATTACAGAACTCACCTCCCACTTTACCAGAGTGATAGCCGGCGGTTTGCGCTTCGCGGTACAATCTCGTCGAATGTGCCAAAAGACTTTTTTTATTTGTCTCGGTTGAATAATCTCCTCGTGTTGCCCTGAGTTAGCCGAGTTAGGCGAGTGAGTTTTATTAAGTATTTTTAATGAGCCGGCCAGGATTGGGCAAAAACTTGGCTCACTTTGCACCCAGGCAACTGGAGAGCACACTGAGGAGGCCTTAGAAAAAAGGTGTAATTTCAGATTATAGCGGTCACCTCGCTGCGCCGTCTAATCGGTGTGTCAAGCTCATTATCTCACCGTGACCCACCAACCCCTCATCCAAGCAGAAGCACACCTAGGAGAGGGGTGGGGGGTGATGCGGGGGAGCAAACGGGAGAGTTCCCCCCAGACATTTTAGACAGGCATTCTGCATCGTGGACCATTTTTTGTTATTTTTCATTTTTCATTGATGTAAAATTTATTTTAAAAATAAAGAGTTATTTTACATCATCGGGTAGCATTTCTGCATTCCGCACATTCTTTTCACGTGAGTTCCTCTCTGCTGCTTCCGGCCTTCCACCTCCTTCGCTGCTGCTGTTGTTGTTGACCGCATTACGCCAAATCTCTGTTTGCTGTGCCTTGCCATGTGCTCTGAGGTCTTCCTCTTTTCTGTCCAGCGTGTGTCAGTTTCCATTGCATCAGCTTTCGCGGTAACCTCCTTGCGGTATCCATCCCCAGTCGATGTCCACGAACAATTGTTTGACCCATCCGGAAATTTCTTAGCTGAACACGCCACTGCCTTCACGTCACGGGCACCTAAGTCACGCATCATCAAACCCGGACCATTGAAAAAAAAATAACCGTCGGTTATGATCTTCGCGGGCCTGACATTTGAGAATGTGGCCACCGCAGCGCTGCTAAGTGGCTCGTTTACAACGCGGCGGCGGCGAAGTGACTTCCACGGTGTTTATCGTTGTTGCCGCTGCTCTACAAATAAACTGCAGTTCATTTGCCCCATGTCAGGGCTCTGAATCTGCCTGGCTCCTAAACAGGCGATATCCCTTAACAGCTGCTCTCGCGCTCGCTTACTCGCACAGGTCGATAGACATCTGCTGACTTGTTGCGCCCCTTATCAGTGAAGTGTCCACCGAAAAATGCGACAATTGTGCATTCGTTTTTGAAAGAGGGCTAACCTCGCTTGCCACGTCGTTTGGCATGAAATGTTGTTTTGTATTTTTTTGTCCGAGCCACGGCTGTGATTGCGGTTGAGCTGTTATAGCCTCCACGACGCGTTTTTTTTAGGGTGCCATGGTGGCGAGACGTTAACCACCTCGCCTGGTATGCAGGAGTGCATGGGTTCGATCCCAACCCTGACGCCTTGGAGTTTGCGCGTCCCTCTCCCCGTGGTCGCGTGGACTTTTCTCTGGGTCCTCCAGTGTTTCCCCTCCACATCTAGACACATGCGTTTAGAGTATTTGGGCTGCAATAAATTTCCACGTGATAAGCCACTTCGTTGAGCTATCATTTGTGGCCAGGTCGCTTCTGAAAAAGAGCTACATAGCTCAGATGGCCATAGCTGGAAAAATAAAAACAGTTTTCTTTTAGTTTTTTAGTTCACGAAGGACCTCCCAGCGCGTGAAGCGAAACGTCGAATGCCGTGCGGAACATCACATGGCGCGACTCGAACAACGCATGGGAAGAGCTGCAACAGCAGAGCCGCTTATCCGGACCCCGTTCGCCTGTCCGCCTGCAATACTTTTATCGTAAAAAAAAAAGGGCACAGCGGGCTGCGACGAACAGCTGCTGCTCCTGCTGTAACGGCGGCATTCAAAAAGTAATCTCGAGAGATGTCGCCGGTGGTTGTGGAGATTCGATTGATTGGGTCACCCACGGTCTGCAGACAATCGCTCTCCATTCCCGTGACGCTGCGCCCCGCACCCTTGGGGGGACAAGGGCCTCTTGAGGGCACATCTGTCGGTGAGCGACTCTGAATATCCTGTTCACCACCTCCGCCTTCATTCAGGCGTCCTGACGACGCTTTGCATAATGCTTGCCCGACCGTAACACTGGACGCGCGCATTGAGAGCAATCGGAATTCCTGCATACAGTATTTGTGACATCCGCGCACCTGTACAGCCCCAGTTGTCAATCCACTGCTGGATGATGGTAGCCCTGGTACATGCCGGTCATTTGACCATACGTGTGTGTGTGTTCTTTTTTCTTGCGCCACGGTGGTCACGCATCCATGCCCTGTCCGGGGCTCAAACTCGCTGAGCTTCCGAGACTCGTGGCGCATCGCAGGCGGTTTTGTCCGCGGCCGTCGTCGGCGTACGGCGACGCAAACGTCGTTCGTTGACTCGCGCGCACGTCACGCCTCTTGCAAGGAGCTCGTGCGGTCGACGTCTCATCTCGAGAGTTTTGTTTTGTATCTCGGTTGTTCTTGCCCACAGTCGTACTCCTTGTTGGTGCGAGCTCGCGTCCAAGGCAGGCGCTAAATGTTCGTCTTCCACCACGTTAGGCAGTAAGCGGCGAAGCAGTTCACGCTGACCGCTGCCGACGCAAGGCTTTCTCGAACTCTAATGAGGTGCAAACCGACCGCACTCAACGCGCTGCTCCAACTACCGCGGGGGACGCCATTTAGAAGGCATCTCGTTGCAACAACTCTCCCGTGTGTGTGTGCCTGCTACTGCAGTCCAAAGCTCCCGGGTTGTGCAGCGAAACGTCGGACATCGCGCCGAGCGAAACTCAGCGGCATAACCTAAGAGCGCATCGGAGAGCTGTACAGTGGCAGAACCGCCAATGCCTACACAGTGGCATTTTATTTGAAGGCACTATCCAGACATGAAACATCTGGCGTATGGCGTAGATGTTTTTTTTTACAGCTATAACTGACACTTGACAGACTTCCCCAAGCTCTTTGTTCTATTTACGAAATTTGTTTATTGAAAAAAATGTACTAAGTTCATATTCTAAAAAGCCTGTAGAAAGGAAGCATTATTGTCCCTGAGTAGAGGTAAGATAGAGAATGATGGCGATCGTGTACATGTGTTGCAGTAGCTTGATCGTGCCGCATTGCGAATGCCGCCATTTGAAGTGTAAAACTAAACACGTTCACACTGCCACGAGTTGAAACCCGAGTAATTCACCGCAGTACAACTCATCATCACAATTCCCTCCTCGTCCTCCTGCTTCTCAGCTGGAAGTTCCCTTGCTGCACGGAGGTAGTTTGACCGCTCGGATCTTTTTTTTCTCTCTCCACGCACTCCCATTCTGTGCCTCTTCCCTCGTCACAACCCCGCTGTTCTCATATCTCGATCCACCGTATGCGTATTCTCCCTCCTCCTGCCCCGCACTGGTGGCAGCCCCCTCGAATTCCCCTCTAATTCCGTCCTCTTGTGTGCCCCTTCTCGGGCTCATGAAGGTGGCAAGCCCCTCTCTATACACAAGTCTGGCTGCCGCCTGATGAAGCTGGTTGTAATTACTGGTGAAACGTCGTACTCGGATTGTAAATGTGGTGGCTTTGCTCTCCAGCACACCGGTGTGCTGTACTCGTAACGAATTGTCATGTTCCGTTTACGTGACAAACCTTACCAATTGGGTGTGTCGGGTGGTGGCGAGTTTTACAACGCATTTATATATTTACGCAATCTAACCCGAAAAAATGCCTTATGGAGCCCCCTCTACGTCCATCCTCTCGTGTGCCCCTTCTCCGTCTCCCGAAGGCCGATACGTCTCGTCCCTTCAGCGCCTTGTCACGCCGGCGCTTTGCCCATCGCCTCGCAAACTGAAGTTGCGGAATTCCCTGACGGCACGCCGGTCGCCCCCCTTTCGTTCCCTGAGCCCCCCCCCCCACCCCCCGTCATCACTCGCAGCCCAAAATCTCCGCGTCCGCCTCCCCCATTCGTCCCCTTTACCTGGCACCGCACAGCCCCAGAACACGCCCGCGCCTCGGCGCGCCTTCTGGTGCGCGTGTGATAAATAAAATAAGTTGGTAAATAATTGAAGCGAAAAACGCAAGCGCTGCCACGACGCCGTCGGTCCCTTCCTGTTCCCGCGTGGCTGCTCCGGCTGCTGGCAGCTAGGTTTGCCACCAGCTAGGGATGCCACATGTCCTGGATTTCACGGATGCTCAGCAGTTCCAACAATAACACTGTGGGCTGGAAAATAAAATAAGCCCTGCTTCTGCAGCACACGTATCAAGGAGAAGAGCATTGTCCAAAACTCCGCCTCTCGTGCTATTTTTAGGGGCAGTGTTATTGTCGCCATGTGTTGAGTTTGTGTTGTTGTGTGCTAGTGTAGCGCTGCCAATGCGGTTATTGCAACAAAAAATACTTTTCCTTGGTAGCTCGTAATAACAATAACGATGCACCACTCGAGACAATACATGTACAGGTAGTACTCTTCTCTCGTGGTCTTGTGAGATATCCTTCTCGCCATAGTCAGGTCCTGGCCTTTTTGTCCCTGAAGAGGTGGAAATGCGACTGGCAGCGTGAGCCATCCGTGCGAAGAGTGGAACGCATTCCCCTGTCAATCCCCCGTGCGGTCGGTGAAGCAGCGTCCGAGTGTGCGGGCGGGGCATTTGTACCGGGGCCCATTAGCCTGAGGTGCTTGGGCACCGGGCTACAAAGGAGGAGGGGGGATTGGACAGGGGAGGAGGGACGATAACGAGACATATCTATTTATTTATTTGGGCGCCACAGTGGTATACAGAAGGTCGTGGGTTCAATCCTGACCCTGACATGTATATTTGGAGTTTGCATGTTCTTGACCCCGTGGCCAAGTCGATTTGCCTCCGGGTCCTCCGTTCCCCCCCCCCTTCCCCACGTTAATAATCACCGTCACGCGTTCAGAGTATTTGGCGGCTATACATTTCCACGTGACAAGCCACTTCGTTGGGCTATCGCTTGTGGCCAGGTCGTTTCTGAAAGAATAGCTCTATAACTCAGTGGGCCTTATCTGGTACAATAAAAATTGTTTAATAGTTTTTGATCGTTTATTTAATTGCTTGCACCAGGGCCCATGTTGACCGCACTGTGCCACTGTTTTAGTCATCCGTTCCCTACGCTACATTCGGATTTCATGCTTTCAATTATTAAGCCGTTCGCCAAAATGGAGCTCTTTCAAATAAATACAGGAAGATATTAGAGGTATGAAATATGTAGCAGTTGAACGCATGACTATGGAGGATGCAGTCAAATAATGCAGAGTAGAGTTTGCATTTGTATTGAAGACAATGGGCGTCGTAAATAAGCAGTCAATTATTCCCTTTATATTGTCAACCTCACGGACTCTTTATCAAGAGGATCCTGCTACACTGGGATGTTTGGCCAATTCTATTCATGTTTGTGTGGCATCACGTGACAGGACACCGTAGATTGGGGCGAAACCTCACAACCTATAAGGAGGGGGTACACTTACAGCTCCGCACAGATAATATTCGACAACCCATTGCCGCAACTGCCATCTCTTGGCCCCATCACAGCCTAAGGCTACAACTTGTGGTAGGCAGTACGAGCAAATCTCAACCCTCCCCGGCTTCCGAGATCTCGTGAGATTGAGCGTAGCATCAGAACGCGGTCTCCGTTATCTCCGCAAAACAACAGCGCTCTCCGTCACGCGGAGTCGGCTCTCGTGCCGACAGCACGCGAGTGCCTCGCACGCAATGCTGCCGCGGTCCCGGCGAGAAACCGCATCTGCTGACTTAGCGTGGGGGGGGGGGTGGCGGTTGTGCTCGGTGTGCAGTGGCAGGCGGAGTCGCAGGAGTTCTCCTCCAGCAAGGTGCTGCTCATCGGCTGCAAGGCCGACCTGCGCGTCGACCTGCCCACCCTGCTCGAGCTCTCCAAGCAGCGCCGCATCCCCGTCACGCAGGAGCAGGTAACGGCGCGCACGCCACGTGGGGCGGAGCAGGGCAGCACGCTGCCTCGTCCCATCCAGCCCCACGGCGCGACATCCCTCGCCCCACATCCCTACACCTCGCCCCCCACCCCTCCCCCCCCATCAGCCTGAGCCCCCACTCTCCCCCACATCGCTACACCTCGCCCCCCCCCCACCCCCACCACCACCACCACCCCCTTGTCAACCCACACCTCCGATGAGCATGGTTGGCTACGTACAGTGCGAAAGAAGTCCAACCCCGAGCCCCCTATCTACCCAGCAACCCACATCGCTACACCTCACCCCCTCCCCCCAGTCCCTGGAACGACGGCGAGCGTCACCCTGCAGAAGACACCGTGGGGTGTGGCCGGCGCTGGCTTATCGCCACGAGCTGCCCCACAGACAGGGGGACCCCCCGGCACCCCTAGCCCCCGCGCTCAGCCACGGACATTAAAGCGGCCCTGATGGGCTTTTGGATCGGTGAACGCGATTAATCGCACGTGTGTGGTTTGTAATGATTTTTTTTTCTAGGGTGTAATAAATACTCTTAAAAAATACATTCTTTTCATACCCAGCATGTGCACGAAACGATAAACACGCGTAATTACTATTTCCAAGTTAGGGATTTCACCTGCGGCTTGTATACATAATGTACAAATTATGGCGCGCATTAAATATTTAGAGTCGCAGGTGCCGTTTTTTTTTTATCTTGCCAAAAATATTGACATCGGGCCAGACGCAATTTGTTTGTTGGTTTTCTTTCTTCGTCATTCATTATTCAATCACCTAAGTTGCGTTATGCTAATATATTTCTTGTTGGTGCAGAGGGGGGTAGGGGTGCAGGTGGAGTTGGCGGTAGGGAATTGGGGGGGGGGAGCGGGGGGGGCGCAGGGGGGGGGGGTCACAAAACTGGAAGGGGTTTGAGGTGGTTCTGTGGCAGTGGGGGGACGATAGCCGACAACTGCTGCTGCTGCTACACATGCTGCTGCTGCACATGCTGCTGCTGCACATGCTGCTGCTGCTGCACATGCTGCTGCTGCTGCATCAGAGGAATGTAAAGGATATTCGGCCAAACAAAGGCGACAAGTGCGTCGTGCCCTATCAAAATAGAAGTCCTAGCAGATGGCGGAGCAAAAGTTCGAGACTGTCAGATATCATTAAGCATCAGCACCATCATCGCCCTCTCTCATTTCACCGTTAAAGGAGAGACACTTAGCCACACCCCCCCCCCCCCCCCCCATTTGATCTTCCCATTTTGATTCAGAGCTCTGGAAACCGTTTAGCACGAGGGAGGTGCGCGATATTCCTCAAGTGTCTCCTGAGCGATTGAGAAATTAAATTAAATGTACGTCGGGAGAGCAAGAGCGATGAGAGGATTATGATGTAATTTTCGTGGAGTTGTTGTTATTATTGTTGGAACAACATCGGGCAGTTTATCACGTCCTTCTGCCAAATTGATTGCTTATCACCATCTAAATAATTTTACTTTCTGAAAAAAGAAGACCCCTATGTGTGTTTTAAAATGATCTCCAATGCAGCTTACAAGCAGGGCCACGCAGAGAGAGCGGAGGGGAGGTGGCGGAGGGGAGGCACAAAAGTGAGCCCCACTCCAGGCCTGTCGGTGGTGGAATTTGAACAAAAACACGCGTTTCTCGAGTATTTAGCTGCTATAGATGTCCACGCAATAAGCCACTTCGTTGAGCTAGCATTGGCGGCTAGGTTTCTGATGAAAAATAACTAAAAGCTCAATGGGACTTACCTCGTAAAATAATAATAGTGTAGTATTTATTTATTTGTGGTTTGTTGACCTTTCCTATACTTTGCACTCTAATTCTTTTTGGCATTGTTTGTTGTTGTAACTTTCTGACCCGCCCTGACGGGGACATCTGTGAAAAAGACCTTCATAGCTCATCGGATTGCCCGAGGATACATTGGGGATTATGATTGATTCTGGAATAAGGTGGCCCACACCAGCTATTCCACCACGGGCCTCCAGAAACCTCTGGCTGGCCCTGCTTGCAAGGGAAGCAAACGCATGCCACACTACACATGTTTGGTTTGCTTTGTTTGCACAGCAGTCAATGCCAACTTTGAAACATGTTCTGTTGGCTTTGTTTACACAGCAGCGGAATGCCTTGGTTTAGGTGGATATCTACCGCACAACACGGGGAGAATGAACTTCAGTTAATAAACCAGCCTCACGACGGGGAATTTAACCAGGTCACAGGGATTTAGAATGACCTATCGGATTTTAACAAAGACACCAAGGTTAAGATGGTATCTCCGTTTTCTCTGTCGTCAATACCTTCACCTGCCAGTCTGTACAAAGGCCCTCATTGAGCTGGGCACTTTCTAATTAGCTGTGGCTTGTACCATTTCTAGTGAAGGGTGGGGTGGGGGTGGTGGTTCTGCTATTGGGTCATTCTCTCTCCCGGTCACAACCCACTCATCCCCCACCTGCCCTTGGTCCTGTTGAACGTACTTGAGCATTCCTGCTGTGAAACGTAAAGCAAAGATGGCTTTCGGTAAAAGTGCACTGTTGTGAATGATAATTAATTCATTTTCATTCAATTTCAGTGTTGCAAAAATTGGCGCACGAGTTATTTTATCCGGGTAGAATGGTAGCGCAGTGGTTAGCGCGCTGCACTACAAACCCGGCAAACCTGAGTTTGATTCCCAGCCACGGCTAGCACGAGTTTGATTCCCAGCCACGGCTATCACAAGTTGGATTGCCAGCCATGGCTAACACGAGTTTGATTCCCAGCCACGGCGAACACGAGTTGGGTTCCTAGCCACGGCTAACACGAGTTGGGTTCCTAGCCACGGCTATCACAAGTTGGATAAGCAGCCATGGCTATCACGAGTTGGATTGCCAGCCACGGCTAACACGAGATGCGAGCGATATCTGTGCAAGCCCACCCTCTCCCCCCACCCCTCTTCACCATTCCACATTGACCGGTATGTTGAAGTTATGGCCTTCATCCAACAATGGATTGACAAGGTCCTGAAATTATTATTGCTATTATTTGATTTATTTATGTTGTTATTTTTATTACTGTTTGTAAGGCACCCCTGAGAACTGCATCCAGTGTTTCTACCCCACCACCCCCTCCCAAGTCATTGCTTCTCTCAGCCCTGGCAGCTTGGCTTACCTTGTCGGAGCCTTTGGGACCATGAGAATCATTCAAATGAATGGGTCTATTGAGCTGGAGTGTGGGACCCGATGCCCCAGAGAGAGCTGCCAGAGCCTAGGAAGGCTTTTTGAACGCGTTTCAAAGCGTCGAGTTGCTTGCATCAGAGATGGCGAGTGAGGGGGTTCGCAAAGTTAACCAAGAATTTTGCGCCGTTGCTTGGATAAGCATTTTTGCCAAAACAAAGAAAAAAAAGCAAACTCATTAAAACAGAATTCAATACATTTTCAATTTGTCCTCCATACACGTTGAAATAACATGGTCGCGCTTCTCCGCAGCAACGCAATTATGGACTCTGTCAGGATGTCAGGAACTGTCCCTCTTGGCTCTTTACAAACGGCGCCCAAGGCGAATAAAAATCCCACGAAAACTCGCCACTTCCAGGCGTGCATTTCAGCAGGGTCCATCCGGGTTGGCCACCAAAAAAGTACTTCCACACCCAGCACACCACATCCAATTTACCTCTCCCAGTAACCTACCACTGATCCCCCACCAGCCCTTTTGGCTTATCGTTATGAGCCACCTATGCCAGTCTTCCAGCGACCCATAAAAACAAATTCCCACCAGTAACAACACATTAAGTATACCTCTCACAATGGCCGCGACTCCTCATCGTCACTTAGCCACTTCCAGTCGGCTCGACAATGTTCAATTGAGAAACCAAGCCCTGCATTCGCCTCCCCCCATCAGTATTCCTCGTGCATTTCCCCCCCCCCCCGCTCTCCGCTGAAAAGTATCCGCGTTAATTACAAAAGTCCAATTCTTTCTGAGCGTCTTTCCCCTGGGAGATCGGCCGCCCTGCCAAAGCGCCCGGGGGGGCCTGCCGATGTCTCACGCCCCCGACACGTGCCGTCCGCAGGGGGCGGTGGTGGCGCACCAGCTCGGCGCGGCAGCCTACGTGGAGTGCTCGGCGAAGCTCTCGGAGAACAGCGTGCGCGACGTCTTCCACATGGCCACGCTGGCCGCGCTCGGCCGCCTGCCCCGGCACCTGCTCAAACGCGGCCGTTCCCGGCTCGAGGCGTCCACCGCCGCCGCCGCCGCGTCCCAGACGCCGCGCGAGACTCCCGTGCCACAGCAGCTCGTGGCGCGCAAGGAGCGCGCCAAGAGCTGTGTGCTCATGTGAAGGAGCGCCGCAAGGCCCCCGCGGGATTGACGGATCCGCGCGCCGGAGACTCGCGGGATGCACCGCAAGACGTCGTGAAGGACCTTCCCTCCTCGCGTGGGCCGCGGTTTGATGGATTGAGGGTTCTCGGAACCCACCAGCCTGCCCTCCCCCCGCACGCACCGTGAGGTTCAGTCGCTTCACTGTAAGTGCCGTGGGGGGGGGGGGGGCGTTAAGAGCCAGATGTTGCCGATGGGGGTTCACGGATAGCTAAACGCGTCGTGGTAATGTGAACGAAAATATTTTGTATTGCCGAGGTATCCGTGTCTCTGTGCGTGTGTGCGGACCCGCGATCTGACGAGAGGGCGCGAGTTCCATCGCACGGGAGCTCCTGGCGAAGGAGGTTGCCCCTGCCGCCCCCGCTGACCCGCCCACGCGACGTTTAGTGTGCGAAGTGTTTGCAGCGGCGGTCATTGCGAGCAAACTCGGAACTCGAGTTGTGAAGATGGAGCTGCCGTCACGCGGCGATCTCGTTCCACTTCTCGCGGCGAGAGAGGCGGTATTTTAAGTCGGCAGCGTTGGTGTTCAACACAAAGAAGAGTTACGTGCAATACAGACGCTTGGTGTGCTGTGGCTTACGCGTCACCCTACAATCACCGCTCCAGTAACAAAAACTTAGATCGACCGGCCGTTCCAAAGGTATAGTTTGCCGAGACGATTAATTCACCTCAAATCTATCCATCGTGTTAAATGTGCCGCAAATTTTGAATGTGTTTTATTTAACAGCTTCTTGCTGCTGCTGCTGCTGATGCTGCTGCTGAAACATAACTTCTAGTTAGCATTGCTGTTCGTGCGTGTGTGTGGTCATGCGCGTGATATTTATATGAGGATAGCGTTATTGTGACCGTGCAGTGATGCGACATGTAAATCGGTCAGCCTCGTAAATCGGTCAGCCTTGGCAAGACAGCACCGTTGTCACCATTTTTTCTCTCGGTAAATTACACTTCAACAAGGAAACCGCGAGCGTGTCATCTCGCGAGTTAATGATGCTTTTCACGCGGTCTTGCGGACGACGCGCACATTGAAAATGTACGTGTCTCTTGAGTGTTGGTATACCCCTTTCCGCGTCAGATCCTGACGGCGCATTTCCATGACCACTGGGAAATGGGGTGGCTCGGTTTGAAAACCAGGCTTGCGTTTTCCAGGGCGATCCAACCAATACCACTTTTTCCACTGGCACATTCGAGCCAGGCAAGTGGGAGGTTTTCCATCGGCTGCAGGAACTAAATTAAACTATTTTATTTTACCAGGTAAGGCCCGCTGAGCCACAGAGCTCTTTCGTCAGAAGCGACCTGGCCACAAATGATAGCTCAACAAAGTGGCTCATCATCGTGTGGAAAGGTCGGGGTCAGCAAGGGGTGGTTAGTGGGGGAGGGCGGTTACTGTACCGAGTGCTCGGTCCGTGCCAGCTTCGTGTCTCATCAAGTGATGGTGGGTGGGACACGGATCCCAGCGCAATCCGGGGCCGTCCCTGCGCCGGTTGGTCATGGAAAGGTGGCGTCGGTAATTATGTGGCGTGTCAGTTCTCGTGTCGTCTTCACCTGATATTTGGCGAGAATCGGATGAAGCAAAATTACACTCAAATAAAAAAAACCGCGTCATTTGAGGCCCATTGTCTGGTTATGCTTCCCTCTGTAAGCATCACGTACGCGACGGAATGCAGAATATTGTCGTTTTGTGACCGTTGCAAAATATTAAAACAATACAGTAGTAATAATAAGAACAGTCGATGTGCTGTTGGCAGGATTTACGGCGTCTTTAACATTGCGAGCGTCTGTGGGGTTGAGAAATGGATTGTCAGCCATGGGGCAAACCAATGTCTTGCTTGTTGCTCAATTGCGAATATTCACACGCATATTTATACAAACTAACGAACTGCCGTCACGTCTGTATGCCGCTTTAAAATGTTTTTAAAAGAAATGCAATATCTAACTTTTCACACCCCGGGGGAATAAATGTCAAGTTCTCAGCGGAGCTTAATCATGACAGGGTAAAACACCTTTAGGGGACGCTTATTTTGACAAGGTCCCATAAAATTGGGACCTTTATTTTGATGTGTTGGCTGCCTTCACACAATCCCTGCAGGACACGGCATCTGCTAATTAATTTCGTGCAGAAAGATAATGAATTGATGAACATAAACAAGGGCAATAACGGTGAATCGAGTGTGCATTCCTGCGTTTTACGATGCGAAATAACAATACTCCTATGCACTGGAATCATGAAGAAGAATAACGCTCAAATTACTGTCAAATAAGGCCTGTTGTATACACAGAAGTGGGAGTACAGTGCTTGGAAGCCGAACTGCAATTTGCAAACTGCTCAATGCGGCTGTCTGCATCATTAGAATACCTCTATTGTTTCAATAATAATCAATTGAGTACATTTACAAAAATCAGAACGAATTCATAATAATTCACAGCCCTTTGTCAATCCACTGTTGGATGCACGGCTTCCACACGTCGCCATCAGCCACGGGGGATGTTTGACTATACTTCACCAAATTCTTAGGTTTTTTCGGTAAAGTCACGTAGGTAAAACATTTAAATTAATAAAAGACGGAAGCTTGTGTTGCCTCCGAAACGTCGTGATTTTTATTTTATTTTTTATTTTACTTTTATTAATTTTAATTTTTTTACCTACGTGACTTTACCGAAAAAAACCTAAGAATATGAATCCTTGCAGTCACGAAAGCTTCAAATCTAGAATTATACTTCACACACCGGTCAGTGGTAAATGGGAGATGGGGGCGAGGAGCTGCGGGGGAGGGTGGGGGGGGAGGGTGAGGCTGCCCCCCCCCCCCCAGACCAGCTCAGAAATCACTCGCCACTGATGTGAGCTTTGGGCCGGGAATCTCACCCACGTTTTGCTGGGCTCACGGCGGCAGCACGCGACTACACCGCCGCCACCCTCCCGATCTCTCTCTCTCTGATGTTACATCCATGAGCTCGGCCTACAACGGCGCTGGACGCGAGTGGCGCAGCGAAATTCGTCGACTGTCTTCGCCACCGCCCGTGATGATTGGCGCGCGCCCATCGGCTCGACGAGCCCGTGGGAGGACGAATGTCACGGTGCCATCAAGAGCTCGTTGTCCTTTCCTTGGCACGGCGAGGTGACCTGGGACATGCCAGCAAGCGGCTGCCTGGAAGGAATCTATTTTCATTGGTCCCATTACGTTCGCTCCGACACTCTCGCCGCCGTCGACCCCCCCCCACCCCCCGACACTTCCCGTCAATCAGTCACAACAGGCCCCAGACAAGCGAAGTTCACCACCCATTAACTGCACGGACAAAATGAACCGCCCCAATTAGAGCGGCTTGTTCCGAAGCAGAGGAAGCACACCGTGCCCTAGCCAATATGCGCAGCGCGATACGCCGGGTCAGAACATGTGCTCGACAAAGGGGATTTGATTCACTCGTTCGTTTATTGCCCATCGGTCGTCTCAGCAAATCGAGTACCCTGCGGGGGGCTGTTTTTTTTATATATCAGCGATGTTCATATTTGCGTGGGAAATGATGCTGACAATACAGTTGGGGGGGAAAAAAGCAAAGCTGTCAGCCAAAATTGATTCGCGCGAAATATCGCAACAGTGCAACGTAACGTCCCCAAACATTTTATAACCATAACAGCAACAACAACAACAAAAATGTGCATTCGCACTAAGCTCTCGGGATCCCTGTTAAAGCCTCGGAAAAGCTCCTATTTAAAACGCAACGCCACGCGGGGAGACGCAGCCAACACGTGACTCCGTTTGCCCAGAGCCAGACATTCATTTCAAGCGCGGCTGATCTGCGTCGTTTTAATGACCACTCAAACTTTTCCGTGCATCGCAGCAACAAAACGCAGACTCCCTTGCCCACGCGCGTGATCGCAAGGTTTGCTTCACAAGCGAACGTAATAGAGAGTCTTGTGGGAAAAGATTTGCCACTCGCAGAGCAATGGTATTTAAATGCATCACAGTAATGCATTCACTCGGTGCACCCACCAAATGAGTTCGTATTATTCATTATTCTAGTCTCGTAAAACGTGCTGCAAGGAGCCATAATTATAATTTTAAACTTAACAACAGCACAAAAATATTTAATTTGTACAAAATTTTGCCTGCCTGCAGGAAGCTTGATCAATCGTACGCATGCAATTCACGCCGTGGATGATGTCAAAAAATTTTAATGAAACTTTTTTTGGAAGAAAAATGCAGAGCAGTGAGTGAGTCTACACAGAAACACACCGTGAAGCCCAAATCGTCTGGCAAAGTATCGGCGGGATTCCTTGCAAGAAAATCAACACAGTCTTGAGGACAAATATCTCTCTTGGTTCTTTCGGTAAAGTCACGTAGAAAATAAAATAAAATAATAGAATACGACGTTTCGGTTGCAACACAAGCAACCATCATCAGCTAAGAATGAATGATAAAACACAGACACGGAAACATAGGCAGACACACATGCAGAGAGAGACGCACACAAAGACACCGAGCAAGACACACACCAAGACAAACTGTTTGTCTATGTTGTTTCCGTGTCTGTGTTTTATCATTCATTCTTACCTGATGATGGTTGCCTGTAATAGAATACGCAATTGAAACGTCGTATTATATTATTATTTGATTTTATTTTCTACGTGACTTTACCGAAAGAACCAAACAGTAATTCCTGCATTCACGAAAGCTTCGAATCTAATTTGACTAATATCTCATCGCCGCCTTTCCATCAGCATTGAATTCATAACTTCCCTGCAAAACAATATATACCCGTGCCGAATCTTAATGGTACAGCATAGATCACACAGATGTTGCGCAGGCTCGAGCAAAGGCATGAATCTAAGTGCTGAATGATGTTTTTCTTCTTACGCTATTTAAACAAAGAGAACGGGGCACTTTAACCACCAGAGGGGTTTAGTTGGAATGTGTGCCACACACACAGAGCGTGGACAAGAATGCGTATGCCTCCTTTGTGCAACTACTGAAGAGCTTGGACTTAGCCCAGTTCTGACCTAAGATCTAAGATCAGCACAGGGCCCAGATCTGTGTCCCCTGCACTCCATGTGCCATGAAGGTCCACAATAATCACTTGTGTTGGCCATGAGCGGGAATTGATCTCGGGTCACCAGGTTCGGAAGGCAGTGCGCTAAACACTGTGCCACCGCTCCCTACAAGGTCAACAAAGACAAAAATCCTCCGTATAGCCTCAATAGACTGTAGGGGCAAGTGCTGTTAGCGAGCACCTAAAGGCCGGGGTGGTTGGCCAACACCACGCCAGGCCAACTTTGTCTCCCCAGTGGCGATGTTTACACGTCGTACCAGGTACTAATTTGAGGCTGAGTCGACGTAGGGGAGGCCCAGGACCGGTTCAGATAATCGTCACCGGCGTTGGCCGTGAGCGGGAATCGAACCCACAAGGTCAACACAAGCGCGCGCGCTCACTCATTGGACATCGGTTCCACGTCCCGGCGTGGTGCGCGTGCTGGCGGTTTAACACCAACACGCTGCTGAGGCCCTTCCACCTCCCACAGAGCCCGAGATCTCTTCTTGCCATCGGATCGGCGGCTTTTGATTCCCAATGAAGGTCGCTCGGTCACATCCACGTGTTCCATTGATAACCTGCAAACGTGCCGACATTCGCGGGCGATCGTCTGCGACGTGTTCGGGCAAAAGTCGCCTTCGTAAAATGCATTTCATTCAAGAAGATTTGCTTCAATTTACCCCATAGTCCAGAATGTGAAGCAATGCAATCTGTTGCTCAAATCAACGACACGCTCGCAATGCGCCCGCGTTCATGCCAGCTCTGTCGGAGATAATCTATAGGGTAATTAAACACGGCAACCTCAAACTCATCGTGTCCTGCTGTTACCATTATAGCATTTCCAGATAACATCCCCGCGGCTTTCTTGGCTGGCTAACGTTCCGCGGTCGATGGATTTCGTCTTTTGGGAGCGACGTTGGTTAGGATTCAGGGGTTCGTGCCCGGTGAGAGGTGGACGGGTGGAGCGGACGACGAGAGGGGGCAACCCTCCAGCAGCCGTCGAATCAAACGAACCTCACTTAAACCTCGAGCGCACAGCGCCTCCAATCTCCCGCTCGGGAGGGCGGCCGCCCGATCTGCACAGCGAGAGTGGGTCGGGGGCACAAGAGAGGCGGCACGAGGTAGGGGGGGGGGCGTGAGTGCAGGCAGTGGCACGGGGCAGGGCCCACGGGCCAATCGACGGAGAACCGTCGGGACCGGCGTTGGCGGTCATGGGAAACGAAAGAGGAAGGGAAATCGGACGTAGGGGGCACCCCCCCCCTCCTCTCCCCCCTCTATTTGATTCCTTGTCAACCATGCTACGCCGCTGTCGTAATCGGAAATTAAAGCGGTGGGGGAGTTGGAGGTGGGGTTTGGTTGCAAGTTGAGGTGGGGGTGGGGAGCCCGTTCGTGGCACGCGCGAGACGGAACGCAACTCGAGTGCATGAGCCATGAACATGACTCAACCCCGGACGTGAACGCTAGAAGGTGTCTTTAAGGGCGCTTGGCACCCCTCTGCCTAGAGCCCCCCCCCCCCCTGCCCCACAGAGCCCCCATTTATTTTAATCTCGAGGTCCCTTCAACAAAGTTTTTTTTACATTTGTTAA